ACTGATAACTAAATCAAAATCATTCTTTCTTTGTTGCAACATTTTGAGCGCCATAATGGTTGACTGGTGGTTGTAACTGCAAATCCATGTCCAATTTTTAAAATCAGACCAATCCATGAACATTTTCAATTAATTAAATGAAAAAAGAACATGACAACAACCCAATGCAATTAAGAACTGAGTTAAGATTTCATAGAAATGATCCAAATGTAACACTCTAAGTCTCAATCAATCTTGCAGTAATGTCTATTTTCCATAGAATACCCACTTTTCTAAAACTGATACCAAACTGAAGAGTTCACACTGTCCAATCAAGTCAATAGGAAAAATTTCCCAGGTAAATCATCCAAAACTTAGATACAAAAGGAGGAGAGAATATGAGAGAGGCTTCACATGATAAATCATAGTTCAATTAAAAATGCAGAATAGTTTTCTTACTACAGAAGCAGAAATAAGAAAATCCCATCTCACAAAACTCATTCAAAAATTCACAGGGAAAGAAAAAAAGCAGTTGCATAAATTGACTTCCAAACACTAAACCAAGAACAAAATCCAGATTAAAAGAGCACAAATAGACAAACCCGTAACCGAGATCACACAAACAAATTCATAAGAGAGAGAGAGAGAGAGAGAGAGAGAGCAAATCTTCACAAAGAATAAGAAAGAAACAAACCATGGTATTGGCATTTACGAAGCAAAGTCTCCAACAGCGCGAGGCAAATTGGGTTATCGTCTACGGCCAGAACTCGAATACCCACTGGAAACTGATCGTTATTCTCATCAATTTTCTGCTCAACAGTCATTCTTTCAAGGCCAGAAGAGTTCACAAACCCAGGACTGACAGGATAGCGTTGAAGAGTGATTAGAGAGTTTTTATATTAAAGAGTACAGACTCTGGTTTTATTCTTCGTTGATCCCAATGAAGGAAAGAGAATTATTTTATACAAAGAGGATGTGTCAGTGTGGAGAAAAAAGGTAATAAAAGCGGGTTGATTGAATAGAACGGAATCATATTGACAGAAAGAGGGAGAAGCTTTAAGAGGAACTGAAAAGTATGGTGAACGAGAGAATAATATATTTGATCATAAGACTGAACGCGATAAGATTCAAGCCCCTCTTCTCTGCTCGCTTACGCCTTCTTTTGATTCTGTTTTTAAAAATGCTGTTTTGTACCTAAAATGCTGACCTACTAAAACCATCTCAAATAAAATAAATTTAATTAAAAAATATAAAATAAATTTAATAAAAAAATATAAAATAAATTTGGTATAAACATCTTTAATATAGAAACTCAATTTTAAAGGAAGAAAAACTCAAATTTAAATTTAAAAAATAATAAAATATGATTATTGGATCTTTAAAAGTAGATGAAAATCTCACTATTAAAAATTTGAGTATGAATTTAAGTCTCCTTTTATTTGAGTAAAAAAATGAATCTCTCTTATTTGATATTAGTATTTGCCCGTACCTGAAGGTGCTATGTTACTCGTAAAAAAATTATAAAAATTTGTCCATCAATAAAGGCACTGTATAACACAACTTCAACAAAACAACGATCAAATTGACATTACTCCACCTGCATACAGAGCATTTATACTCAGACTTTTATGTAATAAAAGTTATACTACAACTACTACAACATAGTAATTCAAATATCTAAGAAAATATGTCACGTAACAACGTTCAATATAATTTTTGTCAATTTAACATACATGATTTCGATACCCTTAATCAACTTTCAATAGAAGCACCTGCTCATATTGGCTCCATGTTGGGTGTTGTGCAAGTCATCATAGAGTGACTTGAGAGATTTTTGTTTTTGGCAGATGTTAATGAGATTAATGCTCGGGGCACCGAGGGTGTCATTGACACTTTTCTGGAAGGTCTAGCTCAGATAAAGGTTTGATTTTTCCCTTTCTGCAGTCCCTCCTTAGGCCCTAACATTCTTTTGCCTTTTTTAGGTTTCAACTGCCTCTGTGTGTCTTTTTTCAAGAGCTTTTCATTTTAGCTAGTTGAAGTAGAGTCATGAGGCTATGCGAAAGGAGCTTCTTACTGCTCAAGGGAGGATTGTTAAGCTTGAAGTTAATGATAGGGCTTCTCAGGCTGAGCTTGTGGCGACCCATTAGAGGGTCGCGCTCAGAAAGACTGCTTGCATGAGGGCTGAAACAGAGCTACTGACAACTCGTGAAAGGGCGGCTAAGCTTGAGGTTGAGCTTTTGGTGACCCATGAGAGGGACACACTCAGAAAGGCTGAGCTTATGGCGACCCGCGAGGGGGCTGCGCTCAGAAAGGCTGTCTACTTGGAGGCAGAGGTGAAGGCAACTCGTGAGAGGGTTTCTCGGGCTGAGGCGAATTTGCTATTGGTTGGTGAAAGTGCCGTCAAGGCTGATGCTGATTTAGAGAGTGGCCTTGTAGATGCCTTCATTGATGGCTACAAGGATCTTTGAGGAAATATTTTTGCTGTATTTTCGGATATTGACCTTTTAAGCTTTGTGCCATATGAGGCGCCTGATGATGGTGACTTTGACAGTGCAGAGGGCGAGGACGAGAAGGATTGCAGTCATGAGAATAGTTTGAGTGTTGGGGACTTTTAATTTTTTTTTTCAGAAACGCAGTGTGTAGCCTCCTTTGCTTTTGTAGCCTCTTTTGCCATTGATGTTCTTTTGAAATTGAATGCAAGAATGCAAAGAACTTTTGAAGCCAATTAAAAAAAATTTATTCAATTACTGCTTATGCTAAGCAATGGTGGGTAATAACCCAAAAAAAGTACAAGAAATAAAATCAAGTTCCCCATATTTACTATTTCTACTCTCCTAAGGTGTCATTAGTAGTACCTCTTCAGATGTTCAACATTCCATGGATGGGGTAATACCTTCCCCTCAGAACTCTAAATGTTATAGGTGTCTAACCTCACTGCTTCTGTTATGAGGTACGGTCCTTCCCAGTTTGGTCCAAGCTTTTCTTCTCGCGAATCCTTTGTGTCGAGGATTACTTTCTTAAGGACTAGGTCTCCTGCTTGAAAGGAACAAGATTTCACCCTCGAGTTGTAGTATCTCGCCATATAGCGCTTGTACTCCGCATTCCACACCATCACCATCTCTCTTTCCTCCTCCACTAAGTAGAGGTTAACGCGGAATCCTTCCTCATTGGTGATGGGGTCGTGATGGTGTTGGACCCTTAGAGAATGCATCCCAATTTTCACAAGCACAACTACCTTAGTTCCAAAGGCGAGTGAGCAAGGAGTTTCGTTAGTTGGGGTCCTTAGTGTTGTTCAGTAGACCCATAATACACCCGGGAGTTCATCCACCTAGAGACCTTTTGCTTTTTTTAGCCTCATCTTTAGGTTGTATAGTATTGTTCTAACCATGACCTCTGCCTATCCATTTGTCTGCGTTACGCTAGGCTGGAATAAGGTTGTTTTATTTGAAGGTCGACGCAAAACGAGTTCAGGAGCTTATTGTCAAATTGCTTGATGTTGTTGTTGACTATGGCTTGGTGTACTCAAAAGCTGCAGAATAGGTTCTTCCAAATGAAATCTTTGACTTTTGCATCTGTTATCTTTGCTAAGGGTTCGGCCTCCGCCCACTTTGTGAAGTAGTTGATTGTTATCACCACGAACTTACACTGCCCTCTACTTAGAGGTAGGGAGCCCATGAACTTGTGATGACTGTTAGCTTTGCTGGTGGCTGTCTGGGCATAGTGGCGAAGCGCTGACACTTGTCGTATTTTTTGGTTAACTCTTGGGCATCCCTCACCATGCTAGGCTAGAAGTATCCTTGCCTGAGTGCCTTGTAGGCGAGGAAGCGTCCTCTAGAGTGGTTTCCACAACTCCTTCATAGATTTTCTATAGGGCATAGTCAGTTTCTTCTGGGGAAAGGCAACGTAGCAGTGGCAAGGAGTAGCCTTTTTTATACAAGATGTCCCACAAGATGGTAAACTTGGAGACTCTCATCTTAGCTTCCAATAGGTCGTTTGGCAATGTGCCCTTATTGGCGTCATCTAGTTCGATTCGACAGATGCACAGTTGACGCTAATGGCTTCCATGTATAGCCTGCTGGCTTAAACTGGTGACTGATGAATGCAGGTCTTAGTGGGGCTTCCGAGGATGAGGCGAGCTTGGCTAATGCATCTGCAACAATATTATCTTCCCTTGGGATGTGACAGATCTGGAAGGGGTGGAACTTAGTCAGCAAGGCTTGCGCCATAGCAAGGTAATCCTGCATTCTAATTCCTTTTGCTTCGAACTCGCCTTTCACTTGGTTGACTATCAACAGAGAGTCACTATAAGTGATGAGGTGTTGGGCTTCCACTTCAATTGTCAACCTTAAGTCAAAGAGAAGGGCTTCGTATTCTGCCTCATTATTGGAGGCCATAAAGTGGAGTTTCATGCCATATTTGATATGAGTGTCGTCGAGGTTGGTCAGGATTAGGCCTGCTCCATCTCCTTCCTTAGTTGAAGAGCCATCAACGTAGACCTTCCAAGGAGGCGATAGGGAGCGTTGGTGATCGTGGTGGGCGCCTAGATGTCTGGGTAAGTTTCTGATGAGGCTTCCTGAGGTGTTGAGGGTCTACTGCCCTCTTCCTCCGCCGATGTGAGCTCTGCAATAAAGTTCACCAAGGTTTGTGCTTTGATGACTACCCTTAGTTGGAATTGGACATCGAACTCGCCCCAACTCTACTACCTATTTAAGAAGTCTTCCAGAGACATCTGGCTTCCCAAGAACCCTCTTTAGGGGCTGGTCTGTGACAATGACAATGGTATGACTGTGGAAGTAATGTCAGAGATGCCTTGCTGTTGAGATCAGGGCGAGCTCCAGTTTTTCTAACCATGAATATCTTATTTCTGCTCCTTAGTATACCCTGCTCATTTAATAAATAGGTTTTTACACTCCTTGGTTATCCCTGATGAGGACGGAGCTTACTGCTGATGGGGAAGCAGAGATGTACAAATATAGAGTTTCACCTAGCATAGTATGTGAAAGGAGGGGAGGTGTAGCCAAATAAGCTTTGAGCTTTTGAAAAGCTTCTTCTGCCTCAGGTCCCCACTCAAAGGCTTTCTGGAGAATCTTGAAAAAGGGTAAGCATTTGTCTGCAAACTTGGAAACAAATCTGTTGAGTGTTGTAATTCTTCCATTGAGGTGCTAGAGCTACTTGGTTGAGGTCGGTGACTTCATGTCCAAGATGGCTTTGATCTTGTCGGGATTTGTCTCAATTTCCCTCTAATTGACCATGAAGCCTAATAACTTTCTTGACCTGACGCCAAAGGCGCATTTCTCAGGGTTTAGCTTCATGTGGTATGACCTGAGAACATTGAAAGTTTATTGAAGATGGTCTATGTGGTCTGCTGCGATGAGGCTTTTTACCAGCATATCGTCAACGTATGCCTCTATTATTCTTCCAATCTGAGACTGAAACATCTTGTTCACTAGCCATTGGTAGGTTGCTCCCGTATTTTTTAGTCCAAATGGTATGACCCTGTAACAGTAGGTCTCCTTCGGAATGATGAATGACATTTTTTCCTAGACTGGGAGATACATGCTGATCTGGTTATATCTAGAGTATGCGTCTAGGAAGGTGAGTAATTCATGGCATGCAGTGGCGTCGATGAGGAGGTCAATTCATGGCAACGGGTAGCTTTCTTTAGGGCACGCTTTGTTAAGTTCGATGAAGTCAACGCAGAGGCGCCACTTTCCGTTGGTTTTAGTCAACATCACCACATTTGATAGCCACACTGGTTAGAACACTTCTCTGATTGCCCCTTTTTCTATCAACTTTCCCATTCCTTGTTCATTGTTTGCACCCTTTTAGTGGAGGTGCTCCTTAGTTTTTGGTGAACA